TCCGGGGGCACGGGCTGGGGACACGGAGGATGATGTGAGCTGCAGCAGGCACCCAGCAAGGCAGAGCTCAAGGGCAGAGCCCGAGTTTCCCCAGGAGGTGAGGCAGAAGGAGCTTGCCTGCAGCCGGTGCCTGCGCTCTGGCTCTAGCGGCTCAGCCCCATGTCCAGAGGAGGGGAGATGGTTTATATCCCGGATGACTCCGACTTCAGCTCCTTCAGGGATCAGTGCGAGAGCCTGGAGGGCTGGCATTGTCGGTATAACAAGGCTGGAGTGACCGTATGGAGTCAGGGCCAGGAGGAAAGCTGCACCGTGCAGAAAATCAAGGTAAGCAAACGCCTGCAGCTGCGGGAGTGCCAGCCCTTCCCTGCCCCAGCTGCTCCCAAGGGTCCCTGGAGTGTTGACCCATCCTGGCGGTGCACAGCAGCTTGGTCCAGCCTGTCCGGGGGTGTTCCTTCCCCAAATGCTGGGGCTGGTGGGGTTAGTCTCCCAGAGGTGCTTTCCCAGCTGGCAGGCTGCTCTGTAGGCTCTTTCTCTGCAGCCTTTTAGCCTCTTGACCTGCTGGGATGCCCACTGCAGCATCCTGCTGTGCATGCACAAATGTGGGCTCACGTTGCGGCTGCCCTTGATCCAGACACAAGCCCTGGATTGATTACGTTATGGAGATGGCCTTGCCGGGAGCCCCCGGGCATGAGACAGGCTGGCAGGATGCCTCCCTGGTGCCTTTCCCCTGGTCACACCATCCTGGGGCACATCTCATCCTACACTGGATGAGCACCCCATAGAGTTTAAGAGCCTGGGCAGGCTGGAGAAATGGGCTGGCAGGAAGTTCAGCTCAAACGAGCTCAGCAAGCACGGCTCAACTCAGCAGAGGGCATGCAGTTATACCCCCCTTCACCACCGCCAGGACCCATAGACCATAGGACCCATAGAGTGGGGATCCTAGGCAGGTTCAGGGGGATCTGAGCAACCGTTACCCAGTCTGGCTCCTTGCAATACCTCCATGATGTGGTTTTTGTGTTGCAAAGCCCTTGTTCATCCATGGCTGGAAAGGCGTGGTGGGCAGGCTTTAGTGGGGGATCTTGAGGGTGCAAGTCTTGCTGTGATAACCAGAGCTTCCAGGGGCCCTGGAGGACCATGAGCTCCACCTCAGGCTGGAGGCATCCTTCACCCTGCGGCAGCAGCAGCAACCGCAGCCCCAGCTGTGAGGGGGTGACTGGGGAGGGGAAGCAGGAGGAGGGGGTCGGGTGCTCCCATGCACTCCTCTACTGTGCCACGGGGAGTGCAGCACATCTCCAAGCCTGTCCTGGGCACGAGTCCAGCACACTGGGCAGAAACCATCACCTAGGCCATCGGGGAAAGCTTGCCTGAGATTGATGGGACCTGTCATGTTCAGAGGGCCATCTCCAATTACACGGCTCTGCTGAATACCTCATCAAACATGCAAGGCCTCTAACGAGGAGCAGATGACATCTCCTTCCTCCTGGCATTGAGAGGAACAGGGCGGCTGGCTTCATCAATAATGCAATTGCCTAGCGTGTTTGGGCAGCCCTATGGCTCTGGTTACAGTCGGAGCCCCTCCAACTCCCCCAGACTGGACCCCATGCCCAGGCCAGGAGCATCCCTTTGCTTGCCCTGCAGAGACTTGGAGTGAGGGCATAGGTCTGGGCTTGGGGTACTACCAGAGTCTGGACCACTAGGCAGCTCCATTGGAGAGTAGAGGGTCCTTCTACCCCTGCTGTCCTCCTGCCTATGCACTGCACTGCATGCCAGCAGCCAGGCTGGTGGGTCTACCTGGGCTGTCCCAAATCAGGGACGTGCTGTGCCCCATGTGTGTAGAACATCCTCCATGGCACAGGTGCACACCGCTTTTTAGCAGCACAGGGGCATGTCACCACACATAGGAATAGCCGCATTCCGTGGATGGGCACAGCTCTGTGCTCTCGGGTGGGTGCTGTCCCCCTGCCCAGCTGCCCATCTCCCCACAGACTCGGATCTCCTGCAAGGATGTCCCTGCTGAGACACTCTACGATGTGCTGCATGACACCCGCTACCGCAATAAATGGGACTCGAACATGATTGAGACCTACGACATTGGGCGCCTGACAGTTAACGCTGATGTGGGATACTACTCCTGTAAGCATCCCCCAACCCCTGGAGATCCCCAGGGGACCCCTCCCTGATCCTACAGCTCCGTGTATGGGTGTGGGGCCACGGGATCAATGGGTTGGAGTGTAACAGGGTCTATTTGCAGGGAAATGCCCGAGCCCCCTGAAGAACCGTGATTTTGTCACCCTGCGTTCCTGGCTGCCCCTGGGCAATGACTACATGATCATCAACTACAGCGTCAAGCACCCGGTGAGCCCCTGGCAGGCCCCAGCCCTAGTGGAGTTGTTGGACCCATGGGCCAGCAGGATCTGGCAGGGCTGGGCAGTGGCTTGGGCAGGCTCTGAGGTTCATGGCATTTCTCTGCAGAATTACCCACCTCGGAAGGATTTTGTGAGGGCTGTGTCCCTGCAGACAGGTTACCTGATCAAGGCGAATGGTGCTGGTGCCTGCGTCCTCTATTATCTCACCCAGGTGGATCCTCGCGGTGAGTGCCAGCATGAGCAGAGGGTGCAGCGTGCCTCCTCTGGGATGGGACCCTCCTCTTGCCCCCACAGAGCTCACCCACTGTGGCTCTCCATCACCCAGAGGTCCAAAGAGCACTGGGAAGTGGGGACAACCCATGGAAGAAAGGATCCTCTCCCAGGGCACAGTGCAGGGCAGATGACATCAGCCCTGGGGAAGGGGGGGTCAGTGTGGCACAGGGCACCGCTGGTTCCTGGTGCTTCTTCTAGGCCTGATCCATATTGGCTGAGTGATAGCGTTTTGGGCTCTTGCAGGGTCGCTGCCAAAGTGGGTGGTGAACCGCGTCTCCCAGTTTGTGGCACCAAAGGTAAGCAGGGTGTGTGGCCAGTTGTGGGATGCACAGATATCAGGAATGAGCTGCCCATGAAGTAGCCCCCTGGAACCGGAGCTGGGTGACCCAGGGCTCATAGGATGGAAGTTGGGTGACCCAAGGCTTGCTGGATGGGTGCTAGGTGACCCAGGGCTTGCAGGATGGGTGCTGGGTGACCCAGGGCTCACAGTGTGTGCACTGGGCATGCTGCTGGGGCTGTGTGGTTTGAGCCAGGCCCCATCCTCTCCCAATACCCCCAAAAAGCAAGCAATGGGGGAGATGGGAACTGTGCCCACAGACTGTTTTGGTCTCATCCCCACTGAGGACTTGGGGCATCGTGATGTTCTGGACCCACTCTGCCCACAGGCGATGAAGAAGATTTACAAGGCTGGACTGAAGTACCCAGAGTGGAAACGCAAGCACGACCCAGAATACAAGCCCTGGGTGTACCCAGAGCAGAACACGCTGCCCAGTGTCAGCCTAGCCGAGCTCTCAGTGCAGCATGCCGACTCGCTGGAGAACATTGACGAGACGGGGCTGCCCGAAGACCACCTGAGCACCAGTGACCACGAGGCTTGAGCCCTTGCTGCAGCCCTCTCACGGGTGGAGCCCCTCGTGACTGGGGCTTGGCAGTCAGGGATCACGGGTAGGAATTTGGCCCCCTGCACCCCAATAGTCGTGTCTGCACTCCAATATCTTCATCATAGATCCCCCCTACCTGGACAGCAGATCCCGTGGGAACCAACAGCACAAGTGCTGAAAAGAAGGAGGGTGGGCACCCTCGTCCCCCTGCACCCATGGTGGCCCGAGGAGATGTCCCCATGTAGGAGTTAGAGCTGGCAACGGGAACAGGTTCCCCAAGGGCAGGGCAGGAGACAGGGATCCTTTCATGGAGTGGGCAGAAGCTTTCTTGACACCCTTTGCCACTGTAAGACGTTCTAGGGGCATCCCTCAAAGGTCCAGAAGTGGGAGGTCTGTAGGAGTCCTGCCCAGGCTTTGAAGCAGCACAGGGCTTGGAATGACCCTCTCTGGCTTGAGGTCCAGCTCTGCCAGCCCCCTAATCAGGATAGACCTACTCCAGGCCACCAAACACTGCCCGCCAGGGCTTTGTGTGGCCCCTCCCCTTCCATCTCAAGGAGCCCTCTCAGGTCCTCTCCTGGGCATCAGGCTCACCTCTGCAGACTGGCTATAGCTCAGTGGGCTCTGGGGACTCCTTCACCATGTGGTGTTTGTGGGGTACTTGCCCTGGCAGTGGGGTCTTGGTCAGCCTGTGTCCCCACTCTCTTGGTGTTTGCTGCTGCTGTGGTTTCTGGCACAATAAAGGGGTTGATGTGCGTGCAAGAGGGGTTCAGGCTGGCACGGGACGGCAAGGAAGCTGGCACCAAGCCCATCCTGAGGCCAGCCAGGTGCTACGTCCTGGGTTGAACAGGAGGGCCAGTCCAGCTGTGCAGCCTCCGCACCCAAGCAGGACCCTCAGCAGAGAGCGAGGTGGCCGGCGGTGGGGCAGGAGAGGAGGATGTTGGGCTCCACACGCCCACGCGCGGGCGGGCGAGCGTGCATGGGCACGGGGCAGCTTCCACCGGACAACGGGAAGTTAGTCTAGACAGACGTCACCAGGGGAATACACTGAAAAATCCTGAATTTTCCATCTAACCATTCACCCTCACACTCCGAGGCTATCTGTGGCTGCTGGGGTCCTGCCCTAGATGGGTTTTAAGCCTGATCTGTGCAAGGCAAATGTAAACAGGGCAGTCCCTGCTGAGGGTGCTCCAGACCCATCCCAGAGAGGTGAAAACTAGGGGACATGGCCAGGACATGGCAGTCAGAGCTCTGCCTAAGTAGTGGTGGGGGACAACACCATGGCAGTACCCAGGGCTTGCAGGCTGCCCAGACCCCTACTTGCACTGCAGCTTTGGGTCCCGCTGACCCCTCTAGCCTCATGTTCCCCTGTAACCTCAAGCCACTCTGCTCCCCACTCTGAGCTGTGAGTGCTGCTGCTGCCCTGTGCTTGCTTCCCCCACACCTTGTGCTTCTCCTCTTCAATTCGTCCAGATGCCCTCCGGGGTGCGGATACTCACTGCCCCCCTCTAGCCACCCTGTTAGGTCAGAGATGCTCCAAGGGGACATCACACGAACGTGTCTCACTGCAGAGAGTGCTGGTGGAGGGAGAGGAGGTCCTGGCCATCAGGGCAGCTGGCTCCCACGGTTTGCAGCTGGGCTGGCCACGTAAGCAAAGCAGGGGTGAGAAGCAGCAAGAGCAGCGAAAATGCTGAAAACACAAGTGCAGGGGATGTGCAGGCTCCCCTCCTCACAGTGAGGAGAGCTGTCTCGAAGCCAGAGCAAGGGGGCAGAAACAGCCCTGGGTGTTGCCCTGATGGGGGAGAGCCCACCGGTACCCCGAGCCCGCAGGGTGCTGGGGTGAAGCCCACCCCACGCATCCCTGCTGCTGTGGGAAGCAGCCCCATCTCTTCTCATTCCCCGGATGTTCCTCTGCAGCAGCTGGGCTGCAGCTCCACCACGGGGCTATTTTTAGCCAGCCTTAAGTAAGCATGAGGAGCTGCTGCCTGAGCACCTGGGGAAAGGCTGGGCTGGATGACATCTCAGCCCTGGATGCTGCCCAAAATGGCGAGGACAGTGATGGGGAGGACAAGGACCGCTGGGGTGTTGGGGACACTTGTCCACAGCCAGTGCTGAGCTATAACAGAGCTCCTGGCTCCCACCATCACCCCGGCCACAGAGCAGGTGAAACTTAGGGAGTTGGGGAGGCGGGCTGCCCTGAACTCCTTGGGGTGCCAGGAGCTCCAATGCGGTGATTTCTTACTAAATAATGTGCCACTGCTGGGTTTCCTGTGGCATAAACAGGAAGGGGGCTGTGTGCTGGCACTCTAGAGAATGAAAACGAGGGTCTCGGGGGTCCTGGAGCCCCGTGGGTGCCCATGCGGGGGAATGGGTGTCCTATGGCCGAGCGGGACGAGGGCCAGACACGCGAGGGCTGCAGCCCCACACGAGAGCCCAGCTGGACGGCTTTTCCTGCCTGGCCCTGAGCAGAGAGGAGCCGCCCAACGGTGCAGAGATTGGGAAGGAAACGGGAAGCTGCTGCTGGATGAGAGATTAGCCTGAAGGCGATGATGTCAGTGCTGTGATGGATGGGGGGCAGGGGGAGCATGGCATGGGCTCCCAGACCTGCCCACAACACACGAAAGCCCTCTCCAGTGCCCCCAGGGTCAAATGTGCACTGGCTGGGGGGAAATGCGACTCCATCCCCTGGATCTCATGCTTTGCACCTCCTGAAATCATGGATAGGTCTTGGCCAGCTCTCGTCCCACCACCCACACCAGGACGCTGAGTCCAGCAGAGTCCCTTGCAGCAGCCTGTCGTGGGCTGGCCTTCAGCGGGACTCTTGACTGGAGAGGTCCAACAGATTTCCAAACCCAATAGCCTCCAGCTTCTCCCTCTTCGCTCCTCTACCAAGCCCTCACAGGGCCTCAGCTTTCTGCCATGAGCCAGCAAATCCTCTGGGCTCAGTAGAGCAGGGCCTTGTACGTAGAAGCCCTGAATGTCTCACCCTCTCCTCCTTCCAAAAGATCATCCTGTCATCATCACACACAATCCCCAGCATGGGTGGAGCTGAGGGTATAGCAAAGTCTGCCCCAGGGTGCAGCTAGGTATGATGGCTAGGAATGGATGGATGGATGGACGGATGGATAGACAGATGATAGATAGATAGACAGATCGATAGATAGATACATAGATACATAGATGAAAAGAGGGAGGGAGGGGCAGGGAGCTGGGCATGGGAACCTTGAGGGACAGTGTCATCATGGGTGCTGCCCAGAAAGGAGAAGGACCACAGAGGCCAATGTGATGGAAGGATCCAAGCTTCATTTTGATCCTCACTTTCTCCATTCTTTGCCAGCATCTTCATAAAGCCAAATCCCCCAGCCTGTGGAGTGTTTTCTGATCCTGCCCATCTGCATCCCCCAGGAAGCAGGCACAATAGGGCTCTCTGCCTCAGCCCAGGGAGTCTAGCATCTAAATACAGACTGTATCACCAGCTTAGCAGACAGAAAAGATACTAAGCAGAGGCTTTGAAACCTGTGCTGTAGAAATTGGGCTGATAGGAAGCTCTCAGGAAACAACGCAGCCGCAGCACACACATCATGACTGCCAGTGCCTGGTGCTCTGCTGCATCCTACTTCCCTCCAACACAGCCCCACGCCTGTGGTCTGCCTCCAGGATGGTCCCATGGTGTGGGATGCCCTGGTTCAGGCTGTGCTCCCAGATGGGCTCTGAAAAGGGTTTCCTGTTTGGAATCAGGTGCTGGGGCTAAGCAGAGTTGCTGGAGCAAGAATTTCTCCCTTACCAGGGGAACTGAATTCCAGTCCTGGCTCTTAACTGATTGTGGAGCAAAGAGGGAGCCAGGGAGGTTTTCTGCACCAAACTGGCCTGTCAGCACACATGAGGATGTGGGTTGTTGGAGCTGCGTACCACTCTTAGTCACTCTGGGCCACTAGATGGGACTGCGACTTGCCACTGTGGGGATGTCCCAGAGTGTCTCTTCCACCCTTGCACAACATTTCCCTTCCCAGCAGCCCAGGGATTTCTCCCAGCAGCAGGTTATGATGGGTCTATAGAGATACTGCAACGTGCCAAAGAGCAGTGAGCCACAATCTGGCCTCACGCATGAGTGTGCTTCCCAGGTTCTAATGCCTCCAGCATGGAAACAATGGCACTTCAGCTGCCACCAGTGCTACCAGCAGCCTTTGTTCTGTCCCCCCACACCCTGAGGGTCCCCGTGTACCCATGGGGCCACCTGTGATGTGCCCAGCCCTGGATATTTGTCACCCCCCTACAGAGCAGCTGCTGGGGAAGGGGGAGGAAGAGAAAAGCCACGCGGGGCTTCTGTTGAATTCTGCTTCTGCTTTGCAGGAGCAAGCCTATGATAAGGAGAAGCTGCCTTTCCACACCTAACTACACGCACAGAGACTTGTATTCTCACACCAGGGTGTCCCGCCACTTCCAGCCCCCCTCAACAGCTTTTGGGGCATCCTTGGTGTGGGGAAATCCAGCCTGAGTTGGAGCAAGGGGCTTGCCAGGGAGCTGGGCACTCACAGGGCAGGGAGTGGTTGTCAGCCCTGCCAGCAGGAGTGGAGAAAGGCTGAAGGGTGTTGTGAGATATCAGCCTCGAACATCCTCCATGTGCAAGGTTGAGTAACAGCGGAGCTAACCCCACTGGCGATCTTGCAAAAACCGTTGTGTTAAAGGCAGCCGAGTTGGCTGGTGGTGAAAGCACAGTCTCCCTGCAGGAGAGAAATCCTCCCAATGTTCTCCTGCTGCGTCGGACCCCACTGCTCCTTGGCTCACATCATATCCCCCATCGTCACAGGATACCAGCAGTGGGATGGGGTGCTGCATCCCCAGCATCCCTGAAGCACATGGGAGGCTTTTGTGTTCCAAATATCTTACCTGACCGGCCCCAGTGCCAGCCCCTACCAAATCCACTCATCAGCCTGTTTTCTCCCAGTTTGGCAGTACTTTCCCAGCACCTTCATCCTGCACAGTCCCAGGCCATAGTGGAT